CGTTCCACAGCCAGAATCACAGGCTAGGGAGCGCATGCTCTTAACTACCCTGTGCTGCTTCTCTGCTGAAGCCAGTCAACTATACTGCCTCACTGACAGGTACCATAACAGAGAGGAGGCACCGAGCAAAGCAAGAGGCAAAGGTGAGCATGCCTCCATCCGGGAGAGAAGTTCCTCCCTGTCACACCTGATCACGCAGTTTTCTCTTAGGAATGTGTATGTGGAGGAGATGGGCTCACAGAACTACCCCCACACAAGGAAACAATGCATTGAGAAGTTGTTAGCAAACTACCCTTGCTGTAGTTCAGAGGCTGCGGAGCAGCCCTCTGATTAGATCTCGCTGTGTGCTAACTAAGGCGTGCAAAAATTCTGTGTCCTTGGGCAGTTAGCACTGTCATCGTAAATAAGTAAACTGGCACCTGGTTTATGTTTCAGCCTCCTAATTTATTAAGTATGCCTCAGTTCCTGCTGATCTTTTCCCACCTCTGGACACAGAGTGATAACAGGATTTTGAGTCGTGCAGACTTTTGGAAATGAGTCCTGGACTGGCATCACCTCATCAAAGCTAACTTCTCGGGAAGACGCACGAAGAGCCCGGGAGGTTGAGACTGAGCGGCCACTTACGCCAGCTAGCCTCTGCCTCACCTCTCTGGTTCTGACCGCAGTGACCTGGGCGCAGAAGAGCGGGTATAGTAAAGTACGGGAAAGGATCTGTAACCACGCTGTGCAGCGCGTGTGTGGAAAGTTGCCGAAAAGAGGAAAACTGTATTAAATTATTTATCAAAGAAGGCTCCTCTAGAGAGGCCTCTGCAGGGTTTCACACGAATTACTCATGCCAAGATGTAAGAAAACAACTGATTAAAAAACCAAACTCCCTCAGAAACACACAGTACCAGAAAGATAAAGGCATTCTGTGAAGTGCACTGAGAAGCAGCCCGTCAGTCTGAACAGGGCCAAGAAAACGGACAAGGAAAGTAACAAAGCCGCAAACGCCTCCTCAGGGACACACGTGCAGGGCCCTCACTTTGCTTAACAGATCCACAAAAATGACCGCTCGGAAGAAGCCTGTGAGAACTACCACCAAAGTTACTGCACAGTAGAGGCCGAGCCCTTCCTTCAGTCCTTCAACCGCAGCCCCCCCAGTCCCTCTGGGCCCTCCCGACCCTGCACCTAACGCTCTCCAGGGATCCGCTCAGCGTTCTGACTCCCACCCACCTCCTAGCTCTCTCAGCTCTCTCAGGTGCTGGCTCAAATGTCACCCCCGTGCCTGGGTGTCACACAGCCCTGCCCAGCCCCGTCCTCTCCTTCTCTCCTGAGCACGCTCATTCATGTACCTGCTGTCTGTCCCTCGTTAGTAAGGGAGAATCCGTGAGAGCAGGAATTCTGTCTGACTTTACTCTGTCCCACATCTGTAGAACTGAGAACAGTGACAGCAAGAGAACAGACTATGAATACAACACTTGTAATTCAAAGTCTAACAGGGGAGAGGCCAAGGCTGACACACAGACTCCTACACAGCACACGCGGAACCTCTCTAAGCTCAGCTTGGGAGAGTGTGGAGCCCCTGCTGGGAGACGGGCTGCAAAGCAGGACTGTACAGCACGCGGAAGCTGGGGACTCCCAGGAATGGAAGCAGCGTGGGGAAGACTCAGCAGGCGGCTGCCCGCTTGACAGCCCTTGTACGGCTGCAGTCCGGTGAACAGTGAAAGGGAGGACAGGTAGTCACAAGAAGGCAGGGCATACCTGCAGGCAAAGGGGCCCTGAGGGGTTTGAAACTGGGAACAGCGTGACCAGATCTGCCTTTTACAGAAGCAGCAACAGGAAACGGGGTGGAGGTGCGGGTGAATCTGCAGCAGGGAGAGCACCGACAAGGGCCAGTGATGCTGAAACGAAAGCAATGAGGTGGACGGTGGAGATATCAGGGGTCTTGACCGGATATGAAGATGGCACTTTCCTAAAACTGCACCAGGGGCTGGGGATTTAGCTCAGCGGCAAAAGCGCCTGCCTGGCAAGCACAAGGTCGTGAGTTCGGTTCCCGGTACCGGAGAAAAAACAAAAAAATAAAACTGCACCAGTATCACTTCCAAGCATCTTTTTTTGGGGGAAAAAAAGTAAAAGGGAATATTTTCTTGCATTTATTAAACCAGAAATTTGAACCCTGGCCGCACTATTCTACTATGCAGTCCCTGACAGCCAGCACAACCAATTGTTCCTATGTTTATATTATACATGCAGCTGTGCTCGCCGCCCCATGTGCTATGACTTCTGCTCATCTTGGCCCCTACAGTGTCCCACCACGTGCCTGCCATAAACGTCATGAACCGCCCACTTCCGGTTCTGTAATCTCACACCTTGCTACCCTATAAAAACTAGAGACACCCTCCAGTCGGGGCTGGACTTTCAGAGGCTCCTCTGCTGGGCTAGCATTGAATAAAGTTTCCTTTCTTCTCCCAACTCCTGGCCCCAGCTGGTCTCTCATTTGTCCCACAACACTATCTCTCACACTCTCAGGCCAGTTCTTGGCCGACAGCGTCCCTCACAAGCCACAGCCTTAGGTAATCCGAAGGGGAAAGACCAGCCTCTCCAACAGCACCCAGTCCTGTAGGAGACGCCATGCTCCCACTGGCAGGACTGAGCTGCGTGTCCACCGCTAGGAAAGACAGGGCCGTGTCAGCCCACGACAGAGAGGCGATGTGGGAAGGTTGGATCTTCAGGGGAAATGTGAGCACGGCTCTCAAGAAAGCCGGAAGAGACGCTAGGCAGCCAGACGCTCGAGTTCCATCACCCTTCTAACTGATCCTTATTCCAGTTTCTTCTAACTGACGGTGCCGGCGGGCGGAAAGGCAGCTTTATGGTGCTGCTCAACCCCAAGCACTGTGAACCCGTGTTCCTCCTCTGCATAGCAGCCGTGATTACCACGGATTAACTTGCCTAAGAGCAGCGACATGGTGCAAGCAGGTATCTGACCAAGATATTAAAACCCTGTCCCAGTGCACTTCCTGTGTCCAACCACAGCAGAGCAATTAACATTCCCAGAGTGCACCAGGTCCTCTCAGTGCCGTACCGTTCCCTCCACGTTCTTCACACCTGATAAAATCCACTGGGGCCTCCTCTTGCCCTTCCCCTCCTTCGGCTCTGGCCTGGAATGTCTTTCTTGACTTTACCTCACACAAATGCAGTTTAATGCCTCATTCAAATACTCCCTCATCTTCCTGTATATCATTTCCTCACAGGACACAACATATTGTAATTATTTAGTACCTATTTTTCCACTGAACTGTAAGCTCCCGGAGGCCAAGATTCTGTCTTTCATTTCTGTGCACTTCACACAGATATATGGTACACAGAGTGCTATGCTTATTTAAAAAAATACTTTGAAGACTGAAATTTCATATTATGGAGACTTTTTATAAATTGTTTTGTCTGACATTAGTCTTATAATTTTTTTTAAATTATATTATATGTAGATGATTCAATACAAGGGCAATGAATAAAATACCTCTTACAATTTATTTCCAAGAAAAATTCTCTTATATAAACAACTTGACAGTATTTCCTATTACCAGAAAATAAAAACCATGTGGGCCACCATTATTTCATTAATACTGCAGTGGTAGGAAACACAGGTATTATGGCTTGTACACAGATGTGCCCTCAAAACTTCATGTGCTCACTGACAGGACTTTGGGAGTGACTGGACCCTGGGTGCGTGATCCTGGATCCTAGGCGTGTGATACTGGATATGCACTAGTCCACTGATTGGTCTAGCACAGTTGGGGTGGATGCTGGACTTACAGGGAAGACCTACTCTGGGTGTGGGTGGCACCAACCAATAGGTTTGTAGCCTGGAGGGCATAAAAAAGGAAAGAAGGCAGGCAGGCTAGCTGCCTCCTACCTGTCATGCCATAAACTGTTTCTCCTCTGCTGTGCTCCTCTGCCATGTCCCCATTCCCTGGAGCCAGCCAACTATGGACTAAAACATCTACAAAATGTGAGCCAAAGTAAACCTTTCCTTTTTTAATTTGTGGGTGCTGAGTATTTTGTCTTAGCAATGAGAAAATAAGACCACTGGCTAAACAGCACACCAAATTGGTACCAGACAAGGTTACGTGTTCCAGATAGAACTGTTGCTTCATGCCTTCTACTGATTGATGTATACATAAGTCTGAAGACTATTATGGACCACCACTTTTCAGGAAAGGATATAGATACACACAGGACACACTGGATATGTAACAGCTAGTATTAATCAAAGTGTAAGTGAAACATTCTAGTTGCCTACATCCATCAATATTCAATATATTTTTCTAATTGTCAAGCTCCCTGATGATCGATATGTATGGCTGGCTGTAACTTCAGACTCTATCTAGAATCCATTTCCATAATCTCCACTGACCTTGTTCCAGGGAGCTCCACTGTTCTTGTTCCAGGGCGGGACAGCCCTGCTTCTGGCCTAACTTCTGGCAGGCTGTTCCCCACACAGCAGTCAGAGCGATTCAATACCATCAGAATGTCAGCAGAGAGAAAAACTTACTTGGGTGGCATCTCACCTCACTCGGCACTGCCCTTGACCCGGCCCTGGTCAGCTGGGCCTCTCCTGTTCTGCTCCCAGGCTCTGCGGCTTCATGCTGTTCCTCACACAGCCACCAGGCACCCCCACCTCCTTCCACAAACTCCTTCAACCTTCACGCCCTGGCCCCTGGCGAGCCCCTGCTCAAAGGGCACCCTCTGGGAGGCAGCTGCTGAACTCCCTCATTACAACTGCAGACGCCCTGCCAACCCAGCTGTCTTTCTCCATGACACTCATCGCCATCTGACCGGCTGTCACTATTGTCCTATTTGTTCCCTGCCTGTCTCCCTCGTGTGTAAGTTCCATGAAAGCAGGGGCGCTCGACTGAATGAATGAATATGTCCTCAATCCCTTTTCTGGAGGTGAGGGGCAAACACTGGCTGTAGCAGGAAACGGAAACTTTCATATCAATGAAACTTTTTGTACTTACTTGGCACAGCGTACCCAGTGTGTGTGTCGGTACAAGGAATACAGGAAGCGCTGGCGGTACATGTTCCATACTTTGATGGATTTGTCTTCAGAAGCTGTAACCAGAAACTGGCCATCAGCTGAAAAGTCCACACTTCGCACTGGAGCTGTGTGAGCTTTAAATTCTGAGGATTTCCCTCTCCTGGAAAAAAACAGTTTAATGTTGACAATTCACTTAATTATAATCAATACTGAATCACTATACAGACTTTGAAACACACAAAATAGGTTCTCTTACAAAACCTAACAGAAGTGGGAGAAGGCTGTTACACTGTACTCTTCCTCAATAATGTTTCATACTGGTTTGGTTCATTTAAGTCACAACTGACACCTAACAAGAAACACCCAGGTTGTTCCGGCCCATGCAGCACATTTGCTGCTGCTTAGCTGGAAGATGGCAAAATAATTTGAAGAAATCTCTAGCATGTACTTTAAGTCCTATTGTTTGTTTCCTGGAAAAGGCAATCTATAAAAAGCCAAGACTGATGAAATCGGTCACCCCAAGGTAGTGTTTGACAAACAGGTCCTGAGGGAAGGGGGTGCTGGCAGTCAGGGCTGGGAGCAGGAGCCATCCCGGGTCATTCATCTTTACAAATGGTTGATCCTGCTTTCTTTTTCCCCTGTGCTTCCATCCACCAGGAATGAAAACTGAGGCCCTGGTCCACACACACAATAAGGCCTGCTCACTTTGTAGGCCCAATCTTACACTCATTAACAAAACACAAGGTAAATGGAAAAAAACATACTGCACTTCAGCATTCTGAAATTTCAGATACTTTTTTTCTTGGCTACCAAGGGAAAAATACAACTAAAAAACAGATGGAGAAAGTAACTTGAGGCATTTAGAAGAAGCAGAAAAACTTAAAATAGGAGCAGGCTAAGTAGTGTTGGGAGTTATAAGGTGGTATTTGTGTTAGTGTTCCTAAGTTCTGGCAGCATTTTCATTTTACATTATGTCCAGGACTTAGGAATTTTTCATTTAGAAATTATACTATTGATACCTTATGGGGAAAATTGCCATAATTGTTTAAAAGGACCAGGCAAAAGAACTTAGTGATATACATACACCTGTCTCCAATTTTCACATGTTCACTCTGGTGTCCCGTACACCTGCACCTCATACTGTATTTGCTACATTTGTTGGTAGATCAATAGCCCCCTATCTCCACGCCAGAAGCCTGCACGTCGCACTCAATTCTGCCCGCTTCCTCTCTCTCAGACACACCACCTCAGCAAACCCTACACTGTGGCCACTTCCTAAATATCTTTTAAATATGCCTCTTCTTTCCATCCCAGCTCTGCTTGCCTTAAGAAGATGTATCCTCAACAGCTTTCACCTGGATTATTGCAGAAGCCTCTTAACTGGTCTTGCCTAATCATTTATCCTGCTCCGGTCACCTACATACCGTGCTTATCACCCTGCTGAAAGTGTACCTGCAGGCATATGGATCCTGGTGTACACGTGTCACTGCTCCCTCCCTGTAGCATTAAGGACAACGCCTAAGCTCTACAGGGAAGGATCCCGCCACTGCGCTGAACTTTGTACTCAGAACAGCCACCGTGCTTGAAAGGCAGCCACGCTTCTCCAGGCTTTCTCAGGCTGAACTATTCCCTGTCCCCAGAGCCCCTTCACCAAGCCACACAGGCTTAATTACTCCCTTCCTCCGACAACAATTTTACTTCACTACCTTATATAGAGACTTTAAAAACACAGACCTGTTTTTCCCCTATTAAAAACTAAGTATTGAAAACAAGAATGGTGATTTATTTATCTGGGAAGAATCAGTAGTTAAAGGTTCTACGATCCAACCTGGCTTTTCCCTCCAGTGCCCGGTAGAAGGCAACGGTGACTGTATCACGAATCTCCATCACATGATACACGGTAATAGATCAGAAGTAACCAAAAGCAGTATTAAGTGAGAATTAGGAAGGCTCACTCAGGACTAGTTGAATACAGTCTTAGGGGAGAAGTTTTATTGACTAGAAATCAGGAGTAGTTTGGCCTCAATTCAAGTGTAAGTCCAGAAAACGGAAGAAGTGTGGCATCTGCAATAAGCAGGAAGCCAGGATACATGTACTCAGTATCACCATCTGCCCTGATCTTCAGTTCTACATTACACACGCGAACACACACGCACACAAACACACACACATGCTATTCTGCTTGCCTTTTTTTTAAAAAGGCCCTCTGCTTTCCTAACCACTGGGTCCTGCCTCAACAAGAAAGCATATAAGAAACCAAGATAGGAATGCTTGGCATTTGCTGTGCACCTAACTGGTTTCTCCTCCCTTTGAATGTGGGCCGGTGTTGTGACTTACTCTGACCCACAGAATGTAGCAGAAATGACACCATGCAAGTTTCAAGCCTAGTCCTTAACAGGTCTAGCAGTTTCTGCTTCTGCTCTCCTGGAAGCTGGCTGCCACTGTGAGTCCAGTCCAATCATCTCACTGGAGGGAGGGCATATGCTGAACCCAGGGGTCCCAGCCAAGAGTAGCACCACCGACCCAGGTGTGAGGGAGACCCTGGAACTGTGTGGCCCAGCTTCCAGGGCAGTGAAGCTGCCCGGTAATCTCCGCAAACATCAAATAGGGAGAAGACCCATCCAGACAGCCAATACAATTGTGAGAAAGTGTAGTTTCTGTATTAAGCTACTAAGTTTTGGGGATTGTTACGCAGTGACAGATAGCTGATCATTCATACACCAGCTTTCTTCTCATTGCCATGATCTGCTATTGCCCTGCCCCTATCGTGACAGGATTGATAAGGAGAAACCGGAGACATCTACACACACATATCGCTGTAGTTAGACTGGCCACCGCAAACTAATGATTCAGTGTGCTTTTTGCTCATCCACCCTTACACAGCTTGTTTACAGAGACTTCCTTGATTCAGCAATGGGAGACTGAGAGTAAGCTGTATACTGAGGATTAAAAACAGAACAAAAACAGGGCTGGGGATTTAGCTGTGTGGGATAGCACTTGCCTAACATATGCAAGGCCTGGCGTGGTCCCTAGCACTGCAAAAATGAACAAACAACAACAAATTAGTCCTACATTCCCAAAGTTAAAGATTTCAGTACACGCTTTTTCTCCTGAACCCCAAACCAGTCTCTTCCTCTTACAGTCTCTTCTTAATGCCATGCACATTGTCACTATCATAAGTTGCTTCTCCCGAGCTTTTACTACCATCAGGATAAACGTCAGACTTTTTCCCTTGGCAGGAAAAGGTGCCCATGGCAAAGGAAGGGCCTGTGAGCAATCTTTCATTTGGAAATGCCTGGTCCTGTTAGTCACATGCTACAGATCAAATCCTGCCACAATAGACTCAAGAGAAATGCCCAAATTCCTATCCTCTGAAGTACTTATGGAGGGAAATGATGGGATGTATAGGATTTGTTCTAAAAATACTGCAGTGAAAAGGGGCAAGAGGTTGGATGAAAAAATACTGGCAGAACACTGGGAATTGTTGAAACTGGTATGTAAGAACAGCGGGCAAGTCACAATATTCATTTTTTCATGTGTACGTGAAATTTACAAACTTAGAAGTTTGAAAAAATTTTCTTTAAACCACTGGCTCCTTAACTGTTTAAAACAGGTTATATTGGCCAGGGTTTGCAAAACCCTTTATAGGGATTTATTATAACAGGAAACTACCATAACAAATGCAATGATTTATACTTTTTCAGAACTTTAGTAAGAAATGCTGGAGCCCCTCCCCCAATTATACCAATCAGAGAAGAAGATAAATTACAAATGAGGAAAAACTTGTAGGAAACAGTTCAACTTTAAGATAAGGGCAGTGCGCCTTGCATGTGACCCGGGCTAAGCGCAGCTAACCGGGGAATGTAGGCATTCCCGGGAGTGCATTAGGAGCTATCAGACTCCAGCCTTCTTTCACGTTTCTAAACCCAAAGTGAGTCAAGTGTTTTTTCCTCTTACTTATCAGGAATCCAGAGTCTAACGGTTCTGTCTCGGGAGGCAGATGCCAGTAAGTTTCCATGTGGAGAAAACTGCACGCTGGTTACAACATCCTTGTGACCCACATATCTGTAAGCTCTAGCTTGTGGCTTCAAATTCCATAGCATGAGAAAGGTGTCCCAGGAGGCGGTAGCTATTAAGAAACAGAAGAACAAAACCACTGTTTGTTAAAATGCAAACAAGCATGGCTCATTACAGTGGGCAGTACATCAAATAACAAGGTGTCCCAGCGAAGAGAGGCTGGAGGTAGAGGGCTGAGCAGCTAAGAGCAAAAATACTTTTTAAAGACATTCCAAGCTACATCACAAACCTGCAAGCTTAGCTGTGTCCTGCGGAACCACACCGCAGAATTACTGGCCTCAGCATTCGATCAGAGCTCAGTTACTGTTTATTAGAAGAAGGTAGCACAATAGACCAGAGCACATGGAAACTTCGGAGTAGAGTCTGTCTCCCACCCTGTGTGACTGGGAAGTGACTTAACCTCTGTGGTTTTTCTTCTTTTTGAAATGGATGGATGTCAGAATTTTAAAAAGCCATTAATGTATAAATAAATTCACACTTATAAAAGTAGCAAAACTAGTACAAATAACACTAATATGCCCTTTACTCAAATCTAATACTTTGCCCTATGAGTTCAAATTTCCTCTGTGGTTCTCTCTACACAGACATACATGTGCACACCCACATAGTTTGTTTTCCTGAACCACTTGGGAGTAAGTTTTGCAACTCATGTCACCTTTATTTCTAAATGGATTAGTGTGTTTTTCCAAAGAAGAATATTCTCTTACAAACCCTAGCATGGAGTCAGCTTAGAAAATTAAACACAGACGCAATACTTTAATCTACTAACTATACTCTAATTTTGTCAACTGAGCCAGAAATGTTTTCACAGCTAGACAAGATGATTTTGTCTCTTTCTAGCCAGGCATGGTGACACATGCCCATAATCTCAGCTCTCTGGGCGGCTACGACAGGAAGATCGTGATTTTGAGTGTAGCCTGGGACACTTTGTGACTTAGCAAGAACTTGTCTCAAAAAAAAAAAAAAAAAAAAAAAAGAAAAAGGCTGGGGATGCAGCTCAGGGTGAAGACCTGGATTCAACCCCTTGTACTGTGAACATAAATAAATAGTTTTTTCTTCTCAGCAGTTTTATGACATTTGCTGATTAATAAAAGAATTATATGTGTTAGACAGTAGTTTAAAGAGATGAAAAGCATACGTGACCAATGTAGGAAATAAATGCCTTGAAAAAAAAATTAACATATAACCAAACGGAAGATAGATCTAATTTTTGCCTGAAAACCAAATCTTATATGCCTGCAGCCTCACAGTAGCCATAATAAGAGAAATTAAGTTAAAGAGAATCACTAAGTCTAGGTTATAAATGCTTAAAAATATAATTCTGTAAACTTGAAATACATGTAATATCACTGTTACAGGAGAAACAGAGCTTGTTTTATGAGGCGACTGACACCTTCCAAGTTCTCCAGCCAACATGTAAAATTTATCTGGACTTAGCCCAGGGGTCTCCTCTGGTGCCCTGTCAGGAACCGGGATCCACCACAGCAGGTGACTGGCCGTCAGGGTTCAGGCAAAGCTTGTAATTAGAGCTGCTCCCCACCACTCACATTACCACCTGAGCTCCTACCCAGCCGTGCTCCTCATGAGAAGCTACTGTCTGATGATCTGCGGCGGAGTGAGGTGGTGATGCAAGCGCTGGGGAACAGCTGCGAATGCAGATGAACGTAAGTGAAGAAGTTGATGGCAGAGACCAGAATGAGTCAACTGCTTGCAGACTTATATCAAAACCCTACCAATGAGTGGCGAATGGCAAGCTGCATCTGCTGGCAGCCTTTAAGTCAGAATATGACACTTGGGCCTGTGTGGGGCCCACCCAGTATTTAATTTACCACTTGCAGCTGCACCAATTTCCTGCCCTGCAGACTTGTCTCAGTCAGTTTTGGTAAGCCCACAAGCTAACCCTACAAAATGAGTAAAAAAGTCACTGGAGAGCTTCTCTGTAAAGGGGAAAAGACCTAGTGATGAGTTAGCAGAAGGCTCTAAGACTGTCAACAGAAAGAACGATGCCTGTAAAAGAGAATACCAAGAGTCCTACTTCCATTACAGATTCACTCTAACAAGCGATTCACATTCTCCTGTCTGCGTGGTATAATATGTAGTGACCAACTACCCAATAAAGCCATGAATCCTTTCAAACAGCTTCACCACGTGGAGAACAAGCACCTTGCGTTAGAGGACAACCCTCTGGAGTTTTTCAAAAGAAAAAAATGCGAACATGCAAAACAGAGGCAATTACTGAAGGCAACCACTTCATCAAATGTATCTGCACTCAGAACATCACTCTTAGTGGGTGACGAGTCCACTGGTGCTGATAACAAGGCAGCAGTGCTTGTTTCTGGGATATACTTTCAGGAGGATGTGCACCTGCACTTTTGCTGCCAACCAACACCACAGCTGCAGAATTATTCATGTCTTTAAGTGATTACATATCAGGAAAACTGAACTGGTCATTTTGTGCTGTTCTACGGACAGATGGAGCCGCTGCCACGTGTGGATGGCTTTCTAGTTTCACTACTCAGGACGAAGAGGTCACTTCAGAATCTGAGTCTGCACCCCTGTGTCATTATAAGGGCTGGTTAGCATTCCCCCTTTTAAAAAAAAGTGTAAAGAGTAGATTTCCCATCACAGATCATCCAAAATATAAAATATTTAAATCAGGGTATGATTTATCTAGGACTAATGTAGACCAAACAATAAAAATAAACTATGCATTATACTTCAGACCCTATTTGAGTTTTATATATTATGCTGCAAACAAAATATACACAAGCAAATATACATAATCCCTTCTCTTGAAGAATCACAGTATAGTAGGGGAGGCATCATTAATGTCATTTTGTCATAGTAATGCAGAGCTGACAACATAGGGTAGTATCATTATGTTGGGTTTCTTCTCTTTTTTTTTTTTTTTTTGGTTTTGGTTTTTCTCCGGTACCGGGAACCGAACTCATGACCTTGCGCTTGTGAGGCAGGCGCTTTTGCCGCTGAGCTAAATCCCCAGCCCCGGGTTTCTTCTCTTGGTGTTAATTAAATGGGTATGACCCAGTGTGAAAATATATCAAATTATACAATTGTGATTTGTACAATTTTTAATAAACTTCTATTCCTCAATAAAACATGCACAGAAAACCAAAAATGGTCAAAACTGTCAGTCCAGTTGCTGCATAGAAAATACACATGGGGCAGTGAGGCAGAACTGGAGAAGAAAGTGAGTTCACAGGCATGGGAATAATCCAGTCAGGACAAGAAAGTCTGCACTAGGTCTGAGGCTGTGGAAATGGGAGAAGTAGCTGACATCAAAGTACATGTAAAGAAGAACCTATGAGGCTTGTTAATGCATTAGATGTGAGAGACAGTAAAGATGCCACGCTTTCGGGATGGGTACCCAGGTAAATTTTATGCCACTTAATGAGATGAGAAAGACTGGAAAAGAAAGAGGTTGGCTCTAGGGCAGGATGGGGGTGCAAATAAAGAGTTTGCTTGGGGACATAGCAGGTCTGAGGTGTCAGTTAGTTATACCAGTGGGAACTTCAAGTAGGGAGATGGATATAGTCACCTGGAGACCAGAGGGAGATTTTGACTATACAATGTGGTGGTTGAGAGAACAAGCTATAGAATTAGACTTAGGTGAGGTGGCATTTCGGAGACCTACAATTATGACACTTGAGGCAGAGATGTCCCATTACAGCAGTGGCTCAGTGTACACCCTACATTTTCTTCTAAATTTCAGAAAAACAACCAGGCCGAGGAGGGAAACTACTCAGGTATAAAAACTGTATGAATGCAATCTTACTAAAACTTATGAAAACCAGTGTCAAATTTTCCTCCACATTTCCTTAACGTTCTTTCTTAGGAAAGAATTGTTCTACCAATCACCAACACCATAATAAAGAAAGCATCTGGCTATGGATATCAGTGGTGTACTATGTCAACTTAGATTCGCTTTCCAAGTTTCCACAGAACACACCCTATATAAACATTACCACATAAAATGTTAAAGCCTGCAGCAGTCATCATCCAACTGGTCTTTTTGGAGATAAAACGTCAAACGGAGAGGAAGTTCACAAAAAGGTTAGCTAGCAAATCTACCAATCTAAAAGATATTTATATTTTCTTTCTGTGTATTTATATTGTATAGTTTCAAGAAATCCTTGTTAGGATATAAGAAAAAAGCACTGCCTCTGCTTGGCTTTGTCTCTGGAAGAGACAAGACAGAAGATACTAATGAGACATGGGTTACTCTCCTCAGCGTCCTACAGGCCAGCAGTTTTTGTGTCACCTTAAGTATCAATAACTTTCTTTAGTCCACCCAAGCAGTCTCACTGATGTAACCAAGATCAGCTATGGGGATCTAGAGGTCTGCTCTGTCAAAAGCAGTGTTTTCTAAAAAGAAATGGGATTGCCTCCAGTTTTTGTGAGATTTGTTAAATTATTTGTCTTTTACTGATATGAATCTGATACAGAATTCCAATACTACACCAGTACTGAAGAAAACTTTCTTTTATGCTTTGGCCATCTGGTATCCCTTCCTAGAAGTGACTTCAATTCCTATTTTCTTGAGACTCCTCCTCTGTACGTATATAAAGGGGTATTTTCATTCTTGATTTCGTTTGTTTGAGACAGGGTCTGATGTAGTGGTCCAGGTTGGCCTTGAACTCACTGTTAGTCCAGGTTGGCCTGAAGCTTGAGATCCTTCTGCCTCAGCCTGTCCAGTGCTGGGATTGTAGGTGTGCACCCCTCTTCGTGCACCCCACTTCTTTTCTGTCAATGGTAACACACTGTACTTCCTCATCTGCGTTCACCTCTCCGTTTCCCTTACTCAGCCCACTTAGTATAAAATATATCGGAGACCATGTTTTGTGACAGTTACCTTATTCTGTTCCCCTTCTATGTTTAGTAATTTTTTATAATTTAAAGCTTACAGTAAAATTACAAGAAACTCCCACATATTCCCTCCCCTAGATTTTACTGTTGTTATTGTTGCTTTGCCATTTTCTCTCTACAGGCTTTTATACGTGCATTATTTTCCGAACCACTTGCGGTGAAATTAGA